TTAGTCGTAACGACTCACGCGTAAATTGACTCCGAGTGCTACCAAGTGTAGCGGAGCTACACAGCTCCTTAAGTCAGTGGAAGACTTAACGCTCAATGAGCAACTTTGGTTCACAGAACTCGACTCAGAGAGTCAATAGCTCAGAGAGCTAGCGGTCCCCGTTCAAGAGGGACCAAACGATTTAAACGAATCACAGCACAGAGTGCTCGAGGACAAGCTACCTTTACAGGCGTTGCTTTTGTCCTCCCGATCAAAGACGCCTCGTAAGGCACGTGTCTCCTATTGATCAAAAGGGGAACTGAATTTTATTTCTTTTTTAAACCTAAAGAACACCATAGAACAACGTACTTAACCTAGTCACTAAGGTTCAAAGTAAAACCTCTCTAAAGATCTCGTAATCAATTGATGACAGACATCAGTCTTCAACAATTGATACACTCACTGTGTTCTAAAATTACTTTATAGGGTACCCCTCTCTTGGGTGCACCACACCTATCGTCGACTACCAGTCGACGTGTAACCCCGTTACACTATAACTGATCAAAATGAGAACTGATGTTTGTTTACAAATTATAAGCGGTGAAAATTACCCTTCAATTACTAAAAGTAAGCTTTTTACTCCCTATTAGTGCTAAATACGAATAGTTTTTTTTCGTACCTGAAACGACACTCATTTAAAAAAGTGACACACCATTCGGTACACGTACCTATACCGTGGTTGTAACGGGGCACGCCCTTGTGTCAATTAAGCACAAGGTTGCGTGCACCCGACGTCACGAACAAGTGGCGGGGAAGCGCAGCGAAGTAGACAAAACTCGGACGCTCTGTCTAAGGGAAAAAGTAGAACTGTATATAATATAGTTATGTTTCTTAATAAACCATCTTCATCTTGACGTAACTATATTAAACTACAATCTCCTTTGTGGGTTCCTTGCTCACCACCCATTGCGCGCGTCCAGCAGCGATTGGTGGTTAATCTGGTTGATGTAACCACATCCACCAAAAGTAAAGCACCCAAGAATATTACCCTCAGAGGTAATATTCCGCCAACATCACCTCTTCTCAAGTGATGTTGATTGAGTAATATGTAAATAGATAATACCCAAAAATTGATACTTTAGTATCAATTCTATGTCACGGGCTCACCCCGTTACAGTGGTGTACCACTTATCGTATACTAACGCTACATGTACAGTCTCGAATGACATCACGCGCGTGGAGAATAAACGAAGTTCCATACTAAGCATGGTGCCTCAGTTTGCTGCTCTTGTCTGCAACTATCACACGAATACTTAACGACACTTGCGTGTGATGAGTAACAATTGCATCGCATGTGCGGCGCTCCTCTTTTCTGCATGTTATCCTAGTAATCATTTCGAAAAGAACGAAATGGCATGAGGAAAGCAAGTACTCCGTCCACTTTGCGACTTGTGAACCCAGCTACATCGACGGTACAATTGCATTTAGTCACGCTAGATTCTAACTGAACGATATTGAAGTACACTCGCGAAACTTGAAGCAGGTTTTCCGAGTGACGCGCGAGCACAAGCTGTTCAGACACATATGGATATGTGTCATCTGCGTACCCGAGCCCAAAGAAGACACATCGTATTGTATTCTGCGGTGAGTGAGCGGTGCTGCTCATAGCGGTGTCGGCTTGCTGCAATAATGGACGGCTGTGTCTTGCTACCGTCTACTACGTATGATGAAGCACACGATCTGATAGGCGTGTGCTGCGTGTGGACCTGAAAGGGTGTCTAGTACTCGCAAGAGTAGCGATAGCGGCCGAAGCAACCGACATTCTTTCTTTTCGCAGCAACGCACTCACGCTCGAATGTCTTCACAAGTCGAGTGTACATTGATGTTAGGCACATTGATGTTGACGTCAGTGAAACTGTTTGGCGAGTGGCAGCGAATGCGTTTCCACGCTTCTACAGTGGATGCGACTGTAACCCCGACTCGGTCGTACCAGTCACAAGCATACATCCATTTTGTATTGTATTCGCGCGAATGATGTTGCATTGCTCGCGACACAACCTTGTATAGCTAAGACTTGAGCGAAGAGCATGCCAGCACGAAGCTGTGTGTCGTCTTTTGAGCCAGTCTAGTTACCCAGTCGACCGATGTCAAAAGCCCATCTACCCAAGAATGCATTTAGCTCATGCGAAAAATTACCTGCTGAAGATACGCGTTTGCGACTGCTTGATCGGTCAATATAGGTTTGTGTTGACGCAAGTGTATCTGCCGCTACTTGTATCAACCAGTCTGTCGCGCTTGTCCATGAATGTGTGCCGTTTTACAGATCGAGCTGTAACGAATGACACCTGTATGAGCGAGCAGTTTTGCGAGCAGTTTTGTTCTGCTAGTTGCAGGCAAAATCGTGGAAAGATGGCGACCCGTCACTGGTATAGCTAAGCAAGCTTCCGTACAAAGAAGCACTGCAACCTGTCGAGCCCAACTGCCATCACTCAAAGACGTATTCTCATCTGTGAACACGCAACCATCGTCTCCTGTGCGCGCTCTTCATATATGCTGCAGCAGTCACACGACCACGTCATCATATAATTCGCGCGCTAAGACTCTTCACTCACACGTGGCGTACGAAAAGCGCAACCGGTCACATCTTCACCACGTGCACTTACGTCGTTGTCTGCCATGTGATTATCGGATCTCTACATTTCCGTGTGACACGTGCAAAATGTCATCGGCTGCCCGGCTACAGCGATCAGCAGGCGTGTGTGCCCAGCATAAGAAGCGCTGCTGTCTTTCCAGCTTACTGAGTGTCGCGCTCAGGTGCTCTTAGCGACTTGTACGTACCCGAGTCTATCCAGAGTTTGCCAAATGTCACAAACGTCTGTCATAGGGGAGCGTATGTCTACCGCTGTCGCATAGTATTCCTTGTCGCGTCTGCTAGGAAGATGGGGTTTCCTGCTTTCTCGTCGTTCGCGCGATACAATAGACACGCCTGTGTAACGTGAGAGTAGCATGTGCCGCGGCACTTGAAGCAACTTCGCTGTTCAATTCGATGCTGCGGTTACCGCGTTGTTAATGATCCTGTTCGTGTTGGCCTGTCGTACGAGGGTTCGACAGAGAAGTGCAGCGGTAGAGTCACATGTTTTGCGCGCGTACCACAGTGTCAGCACGCAAGCCATGCGGAGGACGTTTCGAGCAGCAGATCACTCGGGCGCCACAGCTGCACCGTCTTAGGCCGGTTCGCTCTCCCGGATCAGGCACACAATCCAGGTCTTGGTCAGCAGATGCTACCTGTCAAGGGCTCTGACAACGCAAGAGTAGCTCTCGTTGTGTAATGCGACGAACGTGCGTCAGTGCTCGAATGAATGAAGACGCGCAGCAAGAAAGACCGAGTCTAGGACGGAAGCGCAGTCGAACCCTTCGCACCACGTTGGAAGCGCCTTTCCTTGTATAGCTTCATGTCGTCGTCGTCGTCGTCGTCGTCGGGGGGGGGGGGCGCAAACAAAATGCGTCGCTGTTTGTAACGCAGCAACTTCGGTCAACAGAGCCAGCCTCTACAGCATATTCTGAAACAGCCGCAGCGCTGTGGAAAAGGTATCGCCAAGTCGGTCTCTGTGCACTTTGGCAAAGCCGTCCAGTCCTTGTCGTGATGCAGTTTTCACCTACTCGTTACAGCGCAAAAGTTTCGGTCCAAGGTCAAGCTCTGTCCTGCTCCAGCGGTTCTGTACTAGTGTGACTCGACCCCTTGTCTACCCGCCTGCCAAGCGCGACTTGCGTTCGTGTTGCACTGTATAGCTGGCACTTGTCCATCGCTCGAGCGCCCGTGAAGGTGAGTCCGTCGTGCTTCTTAGGCGCTGTCTTCTAGTTCTTGCGTCACGGAGGTGTTGGGTGGGTGGCCGGAGCGGTCGACTAAGGCATTGGCTTTCGGCCAGGGAGACGGCGCCAGCTGCGCCTATCGAGCACACACGTGTATCAAACGTCACCGAAAACCGGATGGTTGCCCGGTCTTGTGCAGAGCTCATGCGCGCCGCCGCCTCTATTCAATTCCATAAACGCGCGCATGGGACGACCGACCATTGATTCCAACCTGTACGATGCAACGCGACGCGTTCGCAACTCCTCACTCGTACGTGCACGAAACGAAACCGACGTCTCACCCGCGCGCACACGCTCTCTCTCTCTCGCTCGCTCCCTCTTGCTCTCCTTCTGCTTCTGTCAGCAAAAAAAAACCACATCGACAGCAACTTTGTGCTCGAGTATGATACGAAACCCGCGCCACCGTTCTGCACGCGTCGCTCGCGCACGATGGGACAAAACAGGGTCAAAATAGGACACCTGGCGTCGTTACGACGTCGCGTGTGATTTCCGGGGCAGGCAAAGACAACGCAGCCTCAGCTGGCACGTAGAAAAGCGGCCGCTCGCTGTCCGGCGTTTCGAATTGCCCACATCATCCCACGACGACCTGCTGCTCCAGGCGGCGTTCCTGTTGTTTCTTGCCGAGTCGAACTGGTCGTTCGTAGTGCAGTCCTATTACTACGCGTACAGTTACTACTACTTCTCTACTACTTCTCGCAGAGAAGAGGAGGGGGAGCGGCCGGTCGCATCGCGCCCGCCACCTGTCACAGCCGTTTAAGCCCCAAAGTCGGCTCGTCTCGCGTCTCCACAACCACAATCGATCGACGCCACGACGGACAAACGGTCGGCTCGACTGACCCTATGGGCGCTTTGATTTCAGCGCCACTTGCGCACACAATCGCTTTCCCTCTCCTCTACTGCGGAAGGGCTCTACCCCGTCGTCCGTCGGCCAGACACAACACACACACATACACTCACTCGCACATATACACATACACACGTGCGCAGGCGTAGACCAATACACGTAACCAGCCATTGCCACGTCCAGATAGAAGACACCCCTACCTACACACACGTACACACACGTCCCCCTCCTCTCGTAGCAGCAGCAACATCACCTTAGGAACAAACAGATACAAACCCACGCACTCGTAGCACACGGACTCAACAGGATGAGCGCTGTGGTCATTGGGGTCATCGTCGCCATTCTCGTGGTGCTCGTGCTCGCGGGCTTTGTCGTCTACCGCTTCATGGGGGCCAAGACCCGTCGAGAGAGCGACAAGCACTTTATGCACGAGTACGCGCCGACCAAGTTCACGACCATAGCCACGAGCACAGCAGCCGCAGCAGCAGCGACGTCTTCGTCTGCTTCGCACCACTTGTCCGAGAGCAATGCATTGCACACGCCGACCGAGTACGACTTTACGACGCTCGACATGCCCTCGACGACGACGACGACGACGACCAAAGCCGTGGGGTCGTTCCCCGACCCATTGGCGCTGTCCATTGCGATGCTCAATGCCGCGCCCAGCAGCTCTCCAGCGCCGCCGCCGGTGGAACCGAAGCGGTACAACTTTGACCCGGCGCAGTCGACGGTCAATGGCGCGGCGCTGTCCACGTCGCCGTTCAATCGGAAAGAGGCCGTCCAGCCGTCCCGTCGGAGTTACAGCAACTTTGAAGCCCACTCCATGGAATTCAGCGCCGTGTCCGGGAGCTACGCCGAGTCGTATACTGAGTCGTACGCTGGCTCGCTGGCCGGCTCCATCGCAGGGTCCCTGGCGGGTTCGTACGCGAATTCGTTCTCGGGCACGTACGACGGCCAGGGAGTGCTCAATTCCTTTGACAGTAGTGCCGATGCGTTTGGACGAGATACCGTCGGCACGACGGTCTCCGATGCGCCAGGCGGGCGCGAGAGCCAAGTGGGGCCATCAACAGGCGACGGCGACCAATCGCACTGGATGGACGACATGCGGGGCACGAACGATAGCTACGCTATGCTCGAGTCGGGCTCGTTTGACCGCACGTCGGCGCTCTCGCGCTTTTCGACGGACTCGGACATGACAGGGCGACCGACGCAAACATAAGCCAGTGGTAGTAGGGCTACAGAGAGGCGGGTGTATCTATAGTCGCTCTGGAGCGCACGGGTGGGCAATGGTACTCGTGCTTTTTTATAGTTCGCGAGGTGCCAGTGGGTGTTCAAGCACAGCACAGGTTGGAAGGTTGGAAGACTGGAAGGGCTGGAGGATTGGTAGCGAACGCCACGAAGGCGATCCGAGAGTGGCGAGGCGTACTGGTTTGGTAGTATAAACAAACAAGACACGAAGAGTTGCGAGTGACAACATCCATAGCCGTCTGTGTATTGATGATCGGTCGTGTCCGAGGCAGGTACATTGTTGATCCGATTGCGAGACTACGGTGTAACGGCCATGCAGCGCGATTACAGACAGCCTGACTGCCTTTGTGCTGTTCATCGACGGGCTGGACCACCGCGTTTTGGAAGCGGAAAGTGTAGCGGCACAGAAAGCACCGCACGGCTGATATGCTTCTTGGACGCAACACCGTACGTTGTTGCCTCTGCCTTGGCCTTCTCTACGATGCAACCAAGCTGGCGGGCGTAGGACTGTATCTGGACAGCAGCTTTCTTCAAGTCCGAGCCAACTTCAGTGAGATCCAGACTGAAGTCGTTCACAGTCAGCGCGACGACGATCAGGTACAGACTGAGCTTGTCTTTCATGGCCTTGGACTGGAAATACGTCGGATGACCAGTGTTGCCCTCGCTCACGTCTGCAAAGAGCTTGAGGAAATGGCGCACAATGACGAGAGGAATGCCTTTCTCTTCGCTGAAATCGGCTGCCGACTTGCGCAGTGGAAAACGCGCGTTGTAGAAATCAAGCATGTATGCGACATACACGACGAGGCACATCTTGTTGACGTTGTACGGGGCAGGGAGAGATACCATCAGCCGTGTGGGAAGTGACGCGAGGTTCAAACCCGCTGCGTATTCTGCTACACTTGTCGTTTGTAGCGTCTCGATCACCTCTTCAGCCATAATCGTCAGCGAGTCCATGACAGCGCTATCCATAACTACAGTCCACATCAAGTCAGTACCCAACTTGCGAGCACTAGCACACACCAGCGCGATCGTGAGCAAAGACAAGATAGGGACAACGTACACTTTGTGAGGTCGTAGACCTGTTCGGGTGTCGGCGCATCAACATCACACGGTGGCAACAGAGCATTGCGCGTAGCAGCCAGCGCTGCTCCGTCCTGCGCACGCTCGTCCCCGAGCTTGCGTTGGGCCGCCGAAATCTTCTTTTTCAACGTCTGGGCAACGGACGTAGCGCCACTAATGTGATCCAGATCCACCATGTTCTCCTCTCGGTTCTTTTGCATGCGTTTGCTCTTTTTGCTACCAAAGACCTCGACGAGGTCCCGTCGTTGCTCCATGTAGCTCTTGTCGTGCCCGCGATTGTCGTCCACGTTCTCGGACGCGTTCTTGATTGCTTGCTGCATGACATAAATCTGACTGACGTTGCACAGCCGCACTTCTCGTGTCTTCTTGTCAAACACACCGACCGCGTAGTTTGCAAAGTCGTGACTGGCCCCCAAGTAGCCAAAGTTCGCGCCTTGATACGCCACTTTCTCGGAACTCGCCAGCACCAGTCGCTGCTTCTTGCTCGCGTTCTCAAACACCTCAAACGCCAAGTTCTTGCGCTGGTTCATTGGCGGTGGACCGTTGCGGAACGTCGCTGCATAATCAAGCACAACAAAAAGCACACCCTTGCGTCAATCGATACACACACAGCGATGCTGAGCCCAAACGGACAGCCACAATCTCCACAGAAAAAGGTCAGAGGTGACGCAGGCGGTCACAACGCACCGACGACGGGAGCCGAAGCATCGAACGCCTCGTGGTGCTGGAGCTGCACTTTGACGCGCTTCCCCATTCGTTTTTCGTGCGATTTTCAGTCAATCACAAGTGGAGTCTGCCACCGACGCGACGCTTCCAGCCAACCTGCAGACGGCGTTGATTGGCGGTAATTCGATCCTGCGAGGGGACAACGACAGTTATTAGCCAATCCCGGGCGAGGACGCGCCACAATGCAGATACAAAGACGACGACCATGAGCACCGAGGCGTCCATGACGGCGTGTCTGAACCTCATGCGTCGCCTGCCGCCACGAGAGGTCGCGACGCATGTGTACAACCTCACGCGTCTTGTACCGTCACTGACTGATGAACTGTACCAGCGCGTGGATCAGCCGCTGGAAGTCGCGGTCGATCCAGCCAATGGCCGCAAGTACCTGCGCTGCGACTATAACCGCGACGAAGAGTCGTACCGGTCGCCGTGGACGAACCGGTACGATCCGGTACTTGCCGACGGTTCGGGCTTTTATCCGTCGGCGACACTGCGCGAGCTCGAAATCCAAGCGAATGAGATTTTCGACTCGTACCGGGAATTGTACTACCAGGGAGGCATTTCGTCCGTCTACATGTGGGACTTGGAACCCGGGTTTGCTGCCTGTTTTCTCGTCAAAAAGGACGTTGTCGAGCAGCGGTTTGTGCAAACAGGATCGTGGAACTCGATCCACGTGATTGAAGTGCAAGAAAGCAGTGCGGCGGATGGACTGGCGCCAGGGAGTAAGAAAGCCACGTACCGTCTCACGACGTCCGTGTTGCTGTCGATGAAGGTGAATCGCGCGGGACTGGGTGAGTTGTCGCTCGATGGGACACTCACTCGACAGGCTGAACGCACGATGGAGTTTGGCGACCAGTTTGCCCATGTGTCGAACATGGGACGCATGGTCGAAGACATGGAGATTGACATGCGCTCGAGCTTGGACGGCCTCTATATTGCCAAAACGCGTGAAGTGATCAACGGCATGCGGAAATTGCAGCAAGGCCCGGCGCTCGCGAACCCGTTTGTTGGTGAACTCACTGGCGCAGTGCTCAAGCACGGACAAAAGCAGCAGCTGCAACAGGAGTAACGTGCCATTTAAAATCAAAGTGCGACTGCTATTGCTGGTGTGAATGATGTGCGAACGCAAGGCTCCGCTTTTTACACTGCCGTCTGGTCTGTCGTTGTCATGTACCGAGTCTGTCCTATCGGTTTTGACTACCCATCGTAATTTACGTTTTGGATATTCCGAACTATCTCGATGCAAAAAATAGTCGCGCGGGGGGTTTTAGTCCCAGACCATCACTCTTGTGCGCAATTGGTACCCCAATGCCACACCTCGAGGCCTTCTTCACGCACGGCGACACCGGTACAAACGCGTGTTTCGGACCGAGGGCGTCGATAAACGATACTGTTCCACTGAGTGCTCGAGATGCAGACGATGTGCCCGACCGTAGTGTGTTGTACGTGCACGGACCGGAGCTCGCGGGTCAGACGTCGCTGTTGCTGCAATTTGGCTTCACGCAGGTCAAAGCTGGCAAGAACGTGGTGCTTGTCATGCGCGGCACTGCTGCTGGAATGTCGCAGCAGGCAGCCGCGTCGGCGATTGTCCCACTAAGTGCGTGTGCTCGGTGTCAGCTACCGGTACAGACTGGAAACGACAACAGCCTGTGGCGTCGGATCCACATTAAGTACGTTCCGGGGCCACAAATACCGGCTACACGACGGTATTTCGTGATCCGATGTTGAGCTAGCTTGTTGATTTGATGTGTTGTTGTTGTTGTTTTTGACCGGATTTGTGATGGACATGTGGTGGTGATGAATGTCCAGATACTTGCAGAACTGTGCCGAGCTCCAGCGCTTTCTGTGCTCGTTACACGTCGTAGCTCCTGAAGTGTCTGTCCTGTTGGTTGACGGCTTCGAGACACTTTTTGCAGATGAAAGGTGACGACAGTCGTGTTTGTGATGCACGTCGTTATTTGTAATGATTAGTTGTTGTTGTCGTTGTCGTTGTCGTTGTAACCTTTTTGTTGTGGCCGCCTTCTGATTGATGCTGCGACTGATATGCGAACTCATTCTCAATGGTCTTTGCAGCAACATGAGCAATGTGTACCAGACGCTGGCCTTTTTGCTGGATGCTAGAGAGTACATGCTTGCAACGACGGGTGGTGGAGTTGCTGTGGTGGCGGGACACTCAGACGCGTTTTTGCTTCAGCAGCAAAGCCGGTCTTTACTTCGCCGCTGGTGTCGATTCCTGGAGCTTGTACCGGCTGCAGAAGAGCCGGATGTATACACTATCCGTGAAGACATCGAGGATGTTGCGAATGCGTCTGAAGACACGGCGAGGACGCAAGTGACGTATGCCTTTGCACAGCCAGTGGACGAGAGGAACGGGACCTTTCAACTTTTGCACGTACAACGACGAGTGCTGTAGTGCGGAAACGACACGCTCAAAAAAAATTGTTCTACTTGACGTTAAATATGCGAGATACGTGCGACTAGCAGTCGTGTCAACTATTCCACGTCACGGACATGACACCTCCGTGTTCGCGTCTCGCGTGGTCCATCTGTCAATACGTGATCCAACCACCGTTGACGCGACACGTCTGCCGAGTCCTATGCTCTAGTCTCAGTCAGTGAGGCATCTCCTGTCGCTGGCACGGCATTTGATACTGGTGAGATGATCATTCCGCTGCTTGCCTTATCAATCAACTTCGTTGGAGACGCATGCGCACTCGAAGCAGATGAACTGTCTCGACGCGCCTTCAACCATCCACACGCTCGCACAGTTTTGAGCTGGCATGTCGACCCCAATTGGCAAAGAAGAAGGACAATGTTAGTCAAACAACAAGCACCGAAGAACAAAGGCATTCACGTACGTCAGCAAGTAGCTTCTTCACGCGCTCCGGTAGCTCGCAGTTCTCTTGAATGCGCACAAGGACTTCGAAGTACTCGTCCATTGTTCGCCGCGAAGCAGGACTCGACCCGTCAAGCAGATCGCCAATCTAGCGCAAGTGGCCGGGCATAAACATGGTCAGCATGGAGCACTTTTGGTCATCGCTCCAGAGGCATCATATCATATACGCACCAAAGTCAAGAGTCCGCATGCCGCCTCAATTATTTCAGGTTGAGGTTTTACTTCGTCATCCAGCATCATCGCCACGCAAACATGCATAATGTTCTCGGTGAGCAGTTGCCGTCGAAACAGCTCCCCGATGAAGCCCACATTTTGCAGCATGCACTTTCGTCGCCACGAGTGTTGCGTGGCTGCACTTTTCTTGCCACCATGATGCAAACCTTCACTGTCAGGCTCCTCGATCAGAGACTCATAGCACTTGGTGAGAAAAATCCGCCGGAAATTGATTGTCTTTGCGCCATCTTTGAACTCCGGTGTTCGCTCCGACATTCCCGTGCACAATTTTGCATACGAGTCGCTGACAGAAGCATGCATCACGGCGCTTAGTCACTATGCATGCAGCAGCTCAGTCCGAGCCCGGTATCCTACCTCAATTCAGGGTTTGCGATTGCGCGGTCAAATAGCTGGCCAACCACTTCTTGCAGTGTTTGAGTGCAGCTGATCAGGATGCTCGTGAAGGACTCTAGAATGGAGCTGACCGAGTCGGGCTTGACATCGTCCAGCAGTCTATAACACCGCAGCAGAGCAATAACGTAAGCGCACATACTGGTGATATTTTCGCTCGACAGGACGTACGTAGCAATGCGGCGCCGAGCAATCGTCGCTTCTTCAACCGGGTTAACCGGTTCGGCACCACCCACCGTAGGCCCGCCATCCGTGCCGTTCGTGTTTGTCTCGGCAGCCGGACCTGTGTAAAGTCCCATGTTCATGGCTGCAGCATATTCCGTCGGATTAAAGTAGCACACCAGCGACGCATCATACGACAGGACGTTGCCGCGCTGCTGCCGGTTCTTGTCTTTCTTGCTCTTCTTGCCTTTGTTCTCGTCCATGACGGCATCCGCACCGATGGTATCTGCCCACGTGAAGTCTTCCGGCATCATTTCGTACAGCGGTTCAAACTATACAGCATCGAATTCATACCGTGTCGTTATTCACACAAAAGATAAAAACGCGAGCCTTAGTCCCTTTGTACAAAACACAGCACAACACCAATCCGTAGCTGCACGAACCAGCAGAAGCTCCGCAATCGTATACACCAGTCTTCCTTTCAGCTTACACCCGATTTTCTGCGCAAAGTTCAGGTCCCGTCCAACATCAGTACAAACGTCGCACGTTCACCATCACAACACGAACACACACACACACAATCAGTCTCTTACTTTCACCGGCGTCGGGTCTCGAACCACATCTGGAATGCTCTTGATCACACGATCTCCCAGAACTTGAAACTATTGCAACAACTGTCGTCAGCCCTCCAAACTCCTTCCACAACCTTAGCCCATTCCTTTGTTTCTCGTTTTCCTCACCGCTAGTAGATACTCTTTCGAGTAAATGAACCGGTCATGCACTGGCGAATACCCCTCCTAATCACATCAATAGCCACGAGTTGTCAGCACACACACACACCAAACCCGCCACTTTTCTATCGCCGCTACACACTCTTTCGTTCCGAGCAAGAAAAAAAACACATTTCAGTGGACGCTTTTTCGTACATAAGAGATGCAGTCGCCGTGACCGTCGACGGCGACATCGTGTCCGAGTGGAAGAGTCGCGGGCGCCAATGGCGTCTTCTCATTGGTCGCATTTGGCAGCACGTCCACTACGGTTTGTTTTTCGGTACTTTGAACCGGTTCATCGGTCACCGCCAGAGACGCTGTAGCCACTGACGTTGGTGAACCAGCCGTGGCAACTATGGCTGAACAGGTACTGCAGGTATAATAAACAAACAGAGGGTCAGTTTATTTAGACGACAAAGTGGAGTTGAGAGCGGGAAAAAAGGCGACACTGACGACAGCGACGACACTGACGTACGTTGGGGGGACCCACTCGCCGGCGTTTGGGTTCAGTCTCGTCATACTGCAACGCACGCGCGCGCTCTCTCTTTGCGGCAGCAAATACGAACGGCCAAGTGATTGACTGAATGAGAGAGGAGACATTGAGTTCGAGTAGAGAGGGACAGGGACGCCTATCCCTATTGCTGCGAAAGTATCCGGGTTTTATCGGACGCTGGACGAACCGTAACTGACGTAACTGGCTCGTGGATAGTGCAACCGGTATTGGACGACCAGGTGTGTGGTAACTGCTCACCTCTTCCGAAAAAGCGATTGAGGTTTAGCTGTTTTGATAATATCTGTATTCGATTATCTTGTGTGTCTGCTCGAACTTGGTGGTGTTGGCGCCTGTCGAAAGATAATTGGAACATCGCGTCAGCATGGAAAAGCAACGTCAGCCTCCGATTCGAACTACCATGACCTTCACGTCGGGTTGTCTTGCTCGATAATATCTAGCTTTTCGAGACGATGTGAGGTAAATTCGATACTTTCGAGCTCACGTTTTAGCTAATTGCCCATTTACTGTCGATTTCCGTTCGACAACGCGCTTGGGCTTGCTTTTTCCACATACTGCTGTAGCTGCTTCAGTTGACGTGTTCGAACTTGGTGCGATTAGAGGATTGACTTGCAATGTCAGTTGTTTTCTTTAGAGTCATTCGACAGGCACAGTTTGACCTTCGGTGCGTTGCAAAGACATCGCCGACGAACTGCTATGCTTTCAGCAGCACCGTAGAGGCTCCGTGCTTGTCATTCTGGCGATGCTCAGTATGGCTGTAGATTCGGTGTCTAGTCACAGTGGAAAGTCAACCGATTGTACTTTCGCTCTGCATTACAATGCCATACATTCGTTGCCATCTTTTGACCCAATTTGCTCCCGTCGACAACTTGGATGCCGCATCGCAGCCAACAACAGTGTCGGACGGCTTTCGCATAACGGGTCGTAGCCGATTCGACATTGATTGGTATCAACGAAGTCACGGCGGCACTGGAGCTGACCGCTGTCAACACGACAAAAAGGCTTCCACTGGCACATTCTCCTTTCCTCAACGGCAACACAGCAATACATATCGCTGATGCCTGGTCACTGTTGACATGGCAAACGACAGACTTTTTCTCGGATGGTCAAGATGAAATCGCCGTGCCAAGCAGCGCACAGAGTGGAGGCGAAGCACTAGCTTTCCCATTGCAAGAGGACGCGTTGATGTCAAAAGAGGATGGAACCTCTGCAGTGACAGTCATTGACTGGGGCAACAAGCGTCACACATGCATGTGTTGAGCGCTTTAGTAAAGAAGCGCATGCTAAGCGCCGTCAGACGTTGCATTCCAAAGCCTGACGATTCTACGCATGTACTGTTCGTTCCAGTGCTAGACGGGCAACATCGCTCTTCTCTTGCTGATGATGTGCATTATCTTGCTGATGTTGTGTCGGAGCTAAGTCGATACGAGCTCGCTCGCACAGGTTGCTACCCATCTTTCCATTGTCTGGCGGCTCCGTTATGAGTCCTGATCGCATCCGCCAGCTGAGATACCTGCACAAAACACTTTTACAAGACCTTGACTATCTCCGCCATCCATATATGTATTGCCCACAAGTTATGCCTTGGTGAAAGCGCTTGACGCTATCCGAAGCAAAAGTATCGCACGGCAGTCGTGACGCGATGTAGAAAGCGAAAGCTGTACAAGAAAGCTGACTGGTCTCATGTACTCATCATAATGACAGGTCGCTGTTGTTTTTGACCATCTGCTCTTACGATGCCAGCGAACGGAAACGGTCGTTTCGATCGGAAGGAAAAGTTAGGGGGAGATAGAGTGTGAAAACCTTCTCGATATGACAGGATCTGTCAAATCTTTCCAAGTTAGCCGTAGCACACTTTGATCGCAGCTTTGTCAGCACGTTGCTGACAGCGTAGGAAGCCATTCATATGGCATTTATCGACCAAGTCTCTCCTTTCTCGCTGCGTTTGGGCGGGCTACAAAGCAAGGGATGCAACAACGATTCGTCACACCAGTCGTGAGCATTAAGATCGATGTTACAGTAGCGCCAGCATTGATACGATGTCGCACTGTGGACGAGAAATGTCTATTTGGTGTCCACGTGTGCCACGAGCATCCACCACCCACATCCGCGCTTTCCAGGCATCCTTCAACTTGTTCGTCGTGGCCGCTAGTGATCACGGCGTTCCCCGCGTTCTGGCTACTTTGTGTGAAGAGTCGTGTTCCACGAACACGTCGTACTCGCCTTATGCACAGGGGGTCAACGGTGGTGTCAGCTGGTCGTTGCAATCTATTGTTCCAGTGCAGCGGTGCATTCCAGACTTGACAAACGCGTCGTAGCATAACCGTGGTCGATTGTTGTAGCTATTCAGCGGAAGACCATTGGGACGACGACTTTAGACCTGTCTGTCAAACAGCTGATTGTGCATGTGATGATGGCCAGGTCGTTTGGACATCATGCGAATCATACTGAGAAATCGCTCATCGGAATGGCCTTGTTGGATAAACGCTCGCAAACGGGGGTTCCCTAGGAATACCACAGATTGTCGTAGCTACAGCGCATTCACGGAGGAGAAGCCCATCCACATCTATTACGACCACGCATGAGTAAACCTCTGGCATCTGGACCGGGCTTTCTGCACTTCGTGGTTTTGGACTGAAAAGCTGGTGAAGTCTGTCAACTCGGCTCACACACTGAAAGCAAAAGCAATGTGATTCGAAGAGAGCTGATCTCGCTTGGTTCTGTAAAACGAACTCCACACCTTGTTGACGTATCAGTCGTTTGCAAGCTCTCGTGCATTCGTGTCTGTGACGATTCAAGTAGTCCGTGGAAGGAGACCTAGACCGCTCTTCATTGCCAAAAGCTACACTAAACGTCCTAGCTTTTGCGCATGTCCATGAGGATGATGCGCTCGTACGAGGCGAACTGCTGGTCTGCCTCCGATATGCTTACGACCACCTTCTGCACACCGCGCTCCTGCGACGACAAAACAAGCGTTGCCTGAGACGTGAATGGGTGATCTTAAGCACTACAGGCCATGATGGGCCTCAAAGCCACGTACCAGAAGAGCAGCGAGTGTGATCGTGTCCACCAGCCGATTGCTCTGTCAAAGTGCAAGCCACGAGTGTTAGCAATCCGTAAAATGATCAGTCTGTCAGGTCAAGGAAACCGGGTACGTCGTACAGTGTAAATGGCGAGCTCTTCCGCCGAGGTGTGGACAATTGGAAGAAACGAACAGTCTGCCTTGGGAAAGCTGGTGGACACCGAGAAAAGTGCAGGCTTAGAGTATCGATGATATCGCCCCTTTGGCATTGAATCATTGGGCTACGCACCTAAACGTTGCCAAGTCTTCCGTGACGATGCGCACATTCTTGCTGCCAAGCGAAATCTAGACCACACGTATAGAAAGAATGCTTATCTTACAGCTCATTCGTAATTCAGCAGGTTCATAAGTACCATACAGTAAGTGTGTCGCTGTTCATCGGCACAAGAAACGATCGATGTAAATCGTTGCAGATCGTCTGCGAAATCGTTTTGATCTCACGAGTGTCGACCACGGAGCCACCCTGGATCATCTGTGCTGTGATCGAAACTTCCAAACGGTAGTTGTGTCCATGTAGTTTTTCGCGGAATCCCTGTCATGTTCACGTTTAATGAGCATCCCACCGTTTCAGCTGCCACTTGACACGTCGGCACGTCGTACCTTGGTTGCGATAAAATGCGCGGCGCTGAAGCTCATGTTTTCCTTTGACACGTGCACTTTGACAAGGTTATTGGAAGGAGCCATCGTGTCGTTTGCTTCTCGTTGCATCAGTCGTCAATAAGGTCGTTATGAGATACCCTTTGGAGTGTCGTTGTTTACCGAGTGAATGTGAGCGTCTGAAGCTGCAAGACGCGTTGATACCGTCAACCTGTCTTAGTTGTCGTCAGCGTGTCTTGATTACAAGCAGGGTAGAGTGAGGTCGCCAAGATAGTCTTGGAGCTACACGTGTGATTCCTTTCCTTGCAAAGTGATCGCGGGTCGCGTTGCTCGTGCTTCAGGTGGGGTCAAAAGAGCACTAAAAACCTACAGCGATTGCTCCGTACGGTGTATGATGACTCGTATCCGCCGTGCCAATGACATGGAGCGTCTCATCTCGTGAATGACGACTAAACCCACACGTCATGCATGGTCGGCCGGTCGATCTTGAAGTGGTAGTGTATCCGCATCTGGTCTGCGCAAAACCCGCGCATAATCTTGATGTCTCGCACATGAGTTGTGTGGGCGCTGCGATCGCTTGGATGCTCCTTGACACTCAGACCAAATGCTCGTCTAACGATCGATGTCAGGACCACTTCCATTCTTGCTCGAATCAGAAGAGTGAGTAGTGCAGCTTTTGATTACGCTGGCAGAGGCTCCACTCATTGACGCGAAAGACGAGAAAACGTCAATGGGTGTGATTAGTTCACAAGCGGGTCGAGTGGCGCAGCATCGATCGCACCACACACGACGCTGGTGTCGATTCGGCAGTCGCTCATGCATTTCGCAGGACTTTTGTCTGTGTCCAGCATCTCGAGTGACAGCATATAGGGCGATCGCTTGTTTACGCATCAAGGCGTAAGGGAGGCGCAAAAGTGAGTCCATACGCGTGCGTTGCGAAGGTATACTCAGCAGTAGTCGACTGCGCTGCATCGATTGCCATCTCTGGTACCATTGTTGACGCCTTTAGTGTTGACAACCTGTTTTTCGATGTCAAACGTGGTTTGTCGCGGAGTCGGTGGTGACAGGGAATTGACCAGTGTTTCATGCAAAGACGATGACCGATATAATAACGTGTTGACTGCTACAACGTGGCAGCATGACGGATGAGTCGAAGCGCTTCCGATACATCCGTGTGCACTTACGATACCGCAGTACAATCGTGGCAACGAACATACTAGGCAAAGCAATGCCACATCGTTACTCACGTGGAACAGTTGCCTGATATCCTCGTAGGCGACGCGTAGGCATGTACTCTAGCATCTCAGTGCAGTAGTTCTGGGCGTACGCGTTCTTGGGACTCTTGCACAAAGCTTCCAGATCGTCCTTGGTCTCTATGCTTGCTGTTGCTGCAGATAGCTCGAGAATCGCCGTGTTGAGTTTCACAGCAGCTTCGATCGCGTCATTTTGCAGTCGACGGGCAATAGAGGTAGTCGGCAGCGATGCCAACAGTGCAGCGTGTCCCTCGTACAGATCCAACACCTGCGAGTGTATCGTGTTGCCAGTAATGCCAAGATGGTCAAGTCGTTTCAGTTGCGGCATCACATTCCACGTGCCCAGTTGAGACGCATCGGCATCGGTGAACGTAGTGACACTCCCGACACCGTCGGAGGCCATCGAAATCGAGTTTACGAGACCATCATTCGGCTGCCACTTAGTAGAGAGGTTCATGCTGTCAGGCGCATACCGCCCGCCGAGAAAGACTGATAATGGTTGGAGGAACAGCATCACAGTCAGTAGACGAGGCAGCGCGATCTCGCGAAAGAGATAGTCTCGCGCATCGAACGTGGCCACAGTGGTGTAGCTGTAGTAGTACACGTCACTCAGCGTCTTCACCCACGTCGCTTCTTCTTTCGCACCACGAGTGGACAAACTCCAGAGACAAGCGTCTTGAAAGCTCGGATCAAACATACTGCTGGACAAGACGCGATCGAGGTACGCTTGCAGCGTCTCGCCTGCCCGCTTACTTGAAATCCGCCATTGATCCAGTTTGATGTCGTAGAACATCTCGACATCGGTTCCAAGGATCCCGATAATGCCATATACACCTGCAACCAGGTCTTTGACTTCGTCACCAATGACAGAGAAGCCGTCGGCGAGGGTCGTGCCTTGGTTTGGCGCTGAAATAGTCGTTACCGAGTGCACCCAGCTCTTCCCACCAGCGAACAACGGATGCGACGACGGATCTTCCTCGACGGGTGCACCGGTGGTGCCATGCACGAGCATCTGAGCCAACATTCGTATGGTCTGGCCACCCATACTGTGTCCTATGAGGTGGACCTTGTTGATCGAGCCATCCAAGTTGACTGTGCCCCACCTTATGTAAAGGCCCGTGTAGTTGCGTCCAAAGCGAAGGTGCTTGTGCGTGGCCGAGCGTTGCTCGCCATAGTCGACGCGCCCGCCTTTGATAATAGCGTACAGCTCGCACGCTCGATCCCAGTTGCTTGAAAAGGGACCAACTGCAGCAGTATAGACCTTATACCCTCGAGCCGTGAGCTCGTTCTGGAAATCCCCTTGAATGCCACCCCAGTACCGGAACCCCGAAAACTCGTCACGACCCCAGCCAAAGAATCCGCTGACGAGCACGATCGGGTACGAATTCGTCGCTCGTGTATTGGCGAGCAACAGTGCTGTGATGAGGAGCACGAAGACAGTATCGCGGAACAGCACAAACATTGTTGCACTTGTGTGTGCGCAGCTGCAAAGACAAAGACAAGTAGTACGAGTATCGGGTATCAAGTGTGTGACGCGTAGTGGGGTATAAATGCGTGCGTGGTAGCACGTCGTGCTCCTCGGGTTGACGACGGTAAGGGAGTGTGATGGATAGCAATGCTGAGGATCAAGCGACTCACTGGTCGCTGCGAAAATTGCGGCGTAAAGACAGAGCTGTGCCGTACATGGTCTACTTACACTCACTTTCCAAAGTGGACTCTTCTAGCAACACCGGACAGAGACGAGGACCTCTGCGCGGCCAGTGATCTGACCCCCTTACCTTCGACGGGACGGCCCCTGTAACGAGAATTACACGGTGGTTGATAACCGGTGCAACGTGTGTGGTACACATGTGGGATGAGACCCCATTTTAATTGATACCCGAACACCTTATCAGTTTCTTGGGGCTGACGTGTGTCAGCCACCGGATAAGAGATCATAAAAGGGCACTAATTTAGAGCCTTAGTGTCTAGATTCGGTACGTTTGGGTGAAGGTGTCGTTTTACAGACAAAGCAAAAGAAAGGTCAGCTTCCGTTTGTATCTGATAGAGACACGTAACTTGTCAAGGCGTCTCAGGGCGTGTAAGACGAGTCAAGCCTTGTCAAGGCGTATACGTGGAGCACGTTGTGCTGTTGATTGTTGAATCGTTTGGCCCCTTGAACAAGGAGCATTAACTCTTGAGCTTGTTGGCTCGTAGAGTCAAATTCTTTCGTAGATCTAAATTGCTCGTGGAGCAGAAAGCCTTCCTCCGGCAAAAGAGCTACAGTAGCTCCGCTACAGGTATCAGCACTTGAAGTCAGTCTACGCATGATGATCTGTGACGATGGAACAACGCACCCCTCTCTGAGATCCCCAGAAGACCGCGCTTATCAAGCTGACCGAAGCCGTGGGCCCAAAGTATGTGGAAAGCACTTGGCACAAGACCCGGACGCGTTAAACGCACGTCTCGAGAGCTTCATGCAGTATGTAACGACCATTGTAACACAGGTCTAAGATCAAATGGCGTCGGCTATACCAGCACGCGTTGTGTCTGTATCAGACGAAGAGGTCAAGCCTCACCCTGTCAAGTTGGACGTTAAGTCCTACACTGGAAAAGAGGGGGAGAATTTCATCATCCAGATCCGTGCGATCGATATGGCTCTGAAGTCGGGTATGGTCTTATCTAAGTATCAACGGGTCGCGGTGGCGGTCAACAAGTGATGTAAATACTAGAGAATCAGCATTTACGTACATTGCGTCTGTAGACGATGCCTTCCCCACATGGGAAGAGGTTAAGCCTCACCCTGTCAAGTTGGACGTTAAGCCCTACACTGGAAAAGAGGGGGAAAAGTAATTTCATTATCCTGATCCGTGCGATCGATATGGCCCCGAAGTCGGGTATGGTTTTATCTAAGTATCAACGGGTCGCGGTGGCGGTCAACAAGTGCTGTATATACTAGAAAATGGGCATTACGTATGATGCGTCTGTAGACGACGCCTTCCCCACATGGGAAGCTTTTTTAAGCAACGGCATACCCGCACTTGTGAGCCGCTTAATCAGGCATATCGCGTGCGATTTCGCATGATACCGACCCATCAGGTTAAGAAAGAGTTTTCGGACTAAGGTCAAGAGCTGAGAACACTCATAGCTACTATGCAGATCGACCCTCGCCCAGAGGCAGTAAATGGGACGGTGTTCATGGAAGGTTTTTGTCCTAGTCCCTCCATAACTTAGGTCTATCGTTTTCATTCAACGTCCTTCGAGGAGTGTAACGGGGCAGCCCGCTACATGGAATTGTCACTTTAAGGAAAGTGACAATAAAGAATATGAAGTTGAATATTCTTTGAACAATATCACCGAAGTGGTGATATTGAAGGGTCGACCAAAGAGTCTGTTCATTGGTTGATGTCTTGACGATATCAACCCACCAATCGCCGCAAGACGCGCGCAATGAGTGGTGAGTAGACGTCGTCATACATTCAGTTAGATTAGTACGAT